GCCAATGAGTTGATTGCACACAATTTGGGAGGAGATGATGCAAGTTATAGAGAGATTTGGGATATCATTGATGCTCGGTGGGAGGTACAATTACACCGTCATCAACATGCAGTGGCATATTATCTCAATCCTCAATTTCAAGATTCAGAGAGAAAATCTTCAAACCCAGAGGTGAAGCTTGGTCTGTATCATTGCATTGAACGACTACTACTGGAGCAGACATATAGGGAGCTTACAACTTTTTCTATTTCGGAATAAAGAGGGTTTTTTTGGTCTGCATGCAGCAAAATCAATGATTGCCAACGATATCCAGGTATAATTATTTTGATTAATGCAAGACACTTTATTAAGTTCTGATTATCATTTTTCTTCTTGAAAATAGTTGAATGGTGGATCCAATTTGGTGAATCCACCCCTGAGTTACAGAGTTTTTCTGTAAGAGTTTTGGGTCTCACTTGTTCTTCTTCTAGGTGTGAGCGAAACTGGAGTACATATAGTCAAGGGTGGATTCAAACAAAGAGAAGAAATCGGCTATCAACACTCAGAATGAACTCCCTTGTATATATTATGCACAACAAGAGGTTAAGAGATAGGAGGTTGAAGAATAAGGGTTGAAGGATGATGAGGACCCGTTGGTGTGTGATAATGTGTCATCTGATAATAAGTGGTTCATAGATGATGAGACAGATTTGCCATTATCAGACTTACAGTTAGAGGATCTAAGTGTGGATGACTTGAGGGACGAAGCAGATCAAATGGGCACATCCACTAGTACCACACCACACACATCCTCTGCAGCACAACAATCAAATAAAGGTATTCCACAACTTCTTATATGCTATTGCATTATATTTATATCAAACGAGCAATTAATATGATAATGATCATTCTTAATGAACAGGGAAGAAAAAAGTGAGTTATATTGAAGATGATGATGATATGACATTCATAGATAGAAATTGAAGAAGAAGATTCCCTTGAAGACCCATTTAGTGATGGGATATGATTGAATTTTATATGTCACTTCTTAATTGTACTTTGAGAGCTTTGATAGACTATAATTTTGTGGTTTTGTACTTTGGAACATGCTTTTATTGCATCTATTTTCTTAATTTCCACTAATTCCACTTATCATTTAGATATTTTTATTATATGATAGAATCTTGCTATTATTTACATGCTAAAACTCTTAAATTCTCATTTACGCAATTCTGCGTCTTCGAGGCTTAAGCCTCGCCTCACGGACAAAAACCGCCTCGAGGCTTAATTAAACAATTTTAAACCTTGGTTTGAATGACTAGGTAGGTCTCTCTCTCTCTCTGAGTGGAAGTGGTCGGTTGCTTGGGTGAAGAGATAGGGATGGGTGCGTCGGGTTCAGCTCTTGGCTGTAGGTTATGAGGTCGGCACAGGGTGGATCGAGGTTTGATCGCAAGAGCTGAAGCTTGCAGAGGAGGATGAGGCTAGGTACGGAGGATAGGCGGGTTTGGAGATGAAGGAGGCGACTGCAGCTTGCGATCTTGGCTTTTGTCTCGAAAGGATAGAGAAGGGGTCAGGATTTCGGTATGGAGGACGCGAAGAAGAAGACCAAAAGGTCTCGTTCATTTGGCTTTTAACGAAAAAAATGAGCGGCAATGGAAAACGCGCGAGACAGGACTACTCGACGCCGTTCGCAGAGGGAATGATTACTGTAGCTGCGGCTTGAGCGAGATTTTTCTGCAGAAAATTGGGATGAGTACCTGGATTTGCAGCAGAGGTAAAATTTAGGCATTTTTTATCTTCTTTTTGTTTGTTTCATTAAAGCAGGGGTCAACATGATAATATTCTTATCATTGGAAGCAACCCTCCATTTCTTCACAAAACTATTTGAGCTCTTCAACATCAATTCTCACTCAAACCCGTGGGTCCGACTTATTTCTTTCTTGGCATTCAAATAGTTTCAACTGCTACAGGTTATTTCCTACATCAAAAACAATATGCTCAGAAACTTCTAAAGCATATTTGGTCAAGCAAAATGCAAGCCAGTTGTTACTCACATGTCTCTTAAACCCTTAACCACAACGAATGTTGATAAACCCTTTCATAACCCCATTGTTTTTTGCCAAATTGCAGGCTCTCTCCAATATCTCATCATAACCCGTCTAGATATTGTTTTTGCTACAAATCAATTGTGTTAGTTTATGCATCAACCCCTCAACAAATACTATCAACAACTCAAACGTCTACTTCACTACATTAAGAGCACCATTCATTTGGCACTTCCAAAATCATTACAAGCACTCTTACCCTTCATTCTTATGCAAATTCAGGTTGGGCCTCCAAACCTATCGATAGGAAATCTACAACTAGTTGTTGCACATACTTGGGTGGCACTCTTATCTCTTAGAGTGCCAAAAAGCAACCAACCATAACCAAATCATCCATTGAAGTTAAATATCATGCTTCTAACATTGTTTGGCTTTTCCGCTTGTTACAAGACTTATATATCCCACTCTCCTCTCCTACACCATTTCATTATGACAACAATCAATGCTAGTATTGGCAAACAATTCGGCCTTTTATGCACACACAAAGCACATAGAGATTGATTATCATTCTATTAGAGATCACATATGCTAAAATGAAATTATTATGCATCACATTGATTCTAAGGATCAAGTAGCAAATCTTCTCACCAAACCACTCTCCATCCAGATTAACACTACCCAGAGACAACACTCCAAACTTCGAATCATTAATTTATAGGGCGGTGATAACCGATCACATGATATATTGCCTTTTCATTATATCCACTTCATCCACAATGCAGAATATTCAGCAACCCTTTCTAGTATATTCAACAATCTTTTTCAGAGTTAACCCTCATTATTCATTCCTAACAAACTCTGTTATCTCAATCGTTCATCTCCAACATAATTATGCTTGCTACAGCTTTTGTCTATAGCTCTTATGTGTTGAGGAAGTAAATCACACAGCAACATAAAACAAGATAGAGAAAATAGAGCAAAAAGAAAAAAAAAAACATCAGAATTTAACATGGAAAAATGCAAAACCAAGAAAAAATCACAGATGCACACCACACCAAGAAATTCAATATGAAAATTTAGGCGAACTAATACAGAACTCACTTCTCTCTCACTCTCTCCTTGTATCTCTTCACCCTCTTACAAGAACAAAGAGATGCACAATAAAACCACCAAAAGACGTAACCTTTCATGAAAAACAGAAAGAAAAATTGTCAGACAGTATCTAAGCGTTGTGGAGCTCTACTCTCTGTCTCTAGTTTTTCTGACAGAACCGTAATGCCATGATCTGGAGTGTCGCAGGGATTCACTCTTTGTCACCTGCCTGAGTCGTAACGCTGCAGCGCTAAGGTAAGCGTCGCGGAATTCCACTCTGTCTACCTCCAACCAAACATTACAGCGTCGTAGTGCTTGGGTACACAACGTCGTAGTGCTACACGGTTATACAAAAAAAGTTCCAAGTATTGAGCTGGGAGAGGACCCTAGCGAGCTCGAACAATTGAATTGAGGTCCAAGGCAGCAACACAACCTGATTGATCAACACAATCAGATTCCACACAAAACTAACATTACATATAAATACACCCTCTCTTTACAATGTAATGTTAATGAAATACAAAAAGAAAATATGTTAGACCGACACAAGGGCCGGCTGAACAGGTCCTCCTGGACCGGTTCACGTGTACAGGAGGAGGGAAAAATCCCGCCTAGAACATGGGGCCAGACACCTGGATGGGGTGGAAACAGGACTGGGGCTCACACAGTAATTGTGGCAATGGATTAGGAGAAAAAAATTCAAAATTAAAGGCTGTTTAGGGATTAATGAATAGTATTTTTGCTTAAACTAATTTCTTCTTTCTAGGGTTAGGTTTTTATCTTGAACATAATCTGAAATTTGGGATCTCTGTTTTGGATTTGGGCTCTAGTCATCAGCTAGAGATTGGAGAGCTGAATCTTCCTCTTGAATTGAAGATTCATTATATCAAGTTGTTTTTTCTCATCTCTTACTTAATCCAAAGTGCTTGCCCTTGCTATCTCTCTACAGAATCCTTAAAAACTGCTTGGCACTTTGCTGATTTTTCTGAAATTCAGCACCGTTTCCTCTGTTTTGGTTATTGTTTCCTATCAAAATATTATTGCAACAGCTACCATTTTCTATTCTTCGTTTTCTGGTTTGTATTTCTCCCGCTAGGTCTTGTATAGCCTGCTTGTTAATGTAAAGGCAAGGTCCAGGTACAAATCTTCTTCACAAAGCTCAATGAGTTCCACTTGAAGCAACGCAAAGGCAGATATTCATCAATATTACATAACGCATGCTACTTGACACGCTTTCCTTCATGAGCTTGAATGCAAATTTAGACGAGGGCCAATTCACTAGCAAGTCACCTAGAAAAATTCAATTCAAGAGCTCTTACAGCCTGAAAATATTTAAAAGAAGTTTCATGCCACATACAGAAGAAAAAACTATGGTGGCAAGGGGCGTAATATCTCAATCTTGAGATCCACTGAGCTCCAAGATCTTGGGCAGATGCAACACTGCATTTGTATAGGAGTATTTGTATAGAGAAGAAAAACATTAAAATTCAAGAGATGTTAAACAATTGTCCTACAGAGAAACTTGTGCAGGAAAAATAGGCAAGAGAACCTGAACATATGGTGAAGCTAGCATGAAAGTTGACCATAGGAACTATAGTTAAGTGCTCTTTGACAATGCTATGCTTGTCTGTAAAATTAAGGTTTCGTTTGGGACGGCTTTTTTACTGCTTTTTAGTACAAAATTTTACATGGATTATCCTAATGTAACTTATAGCCACTTTTAATGCAACATCTTCACGCTTTTTCAATGTCAATGTTAAAATCATTCTTGCTCTTTATTATTGTCATTGCTACTGTGCCACAAAATTAAGGTTTGAAAGGTTATCAAACTGGTAAAAAAAAAATATAATTCCGAAAGGACAACATAGGACAATATTTACGTACGTAGAAATCCAGACGAGTGTCTCCCATCCATCTATACTTCTCAGACTCGATATCAATATCAGCTATTAATCCTGCACGTACCATTTTCATAAATTTAGAGAATACGTTAAAGCTCAACAACTCCATAACTAAACCTGGCAATATTTCCTTGGAAAGATTATTGCCTTCAATGCACAGCCATGAAAATGACTGAGTGCTTAAGCATTAAAAAAAAATTGTTATTACGTATTTCTCCTCTGTGCGTTTTTGCATACCCCATGAAAGCATTAAGATGCTAAAAAACTTTGTATTTCCTTGCAAAACTGTCGTAACATCTAGAGCTCTTTTGTGTCCTGCAAGATTGAAAAATGAAGAACATGACGAAAGATTTAGAAGCAACAGCCTTCGAGGGACCAGGTCTGAGTAGAATGATACAAGACCTCTTATAACAGCAAAAGTAGCATTCTGTATTGAATAATTTTCCCCAGCTGCATCCAAAATTGATTTTGCCAGTCCATTTCCAGTCCCTGCATTTATTATGATGGTCAAGGACAAGCACGAATCATTTCTCATCCATTCTACCATAAACTACTATATCCAAACCAGTAAACTATATTACATGATGAAAGAAAGCAATAGCGAAAGAATATGAAGAGTCACAGAGAAATAGATAAAATGAACTACTAATGATATATTGACGGAGAACAAAAGGATAAACTAAGTTGAGCAAACGAAAGAACATTAAGATTTTTAATCTTTATAAAAGGAGTAGATTTTCTCGGAATATGAGGCAGCATTGCAGGTTAGCAACTCATGAACATACCTGCGGGAATGATCCCAAGAGGTACCTTGATTGCAGTATCCCAGTCTTCTCTTTGAAGCAAACCATTTACCACCTAACCAATAAGAAAATATTAAACAATCAAATGGCTTTGAAAAGAAAATGGGAAAAAAGGACTTTAGTGCTAGCTAAAACATGTCCAGCAGAAGTTTAGCATAAATAAATAGAAATAAAAAAAAGAAAATTACACTAAGGGGTCATTTGGTTTCCTAATAAAAGAATGCACAGTAAACTAGAATTTATTGTAAAAGGAATGCAATATATTTGAAATGTTCGGAATTGTTTAGATGAATGTAAAATAAATACAGGTTATAATTTTTTTTCATTTGGTTTAAAATAAAATGAATATGGTTTAAAGTAAAATGAATGTAGTGTAAAACTAAACAAGGGCGATGGCTGGCGGGAGACGTGTGGCGGTCGAAAGTGGTGACGGCTGACAACAAAAGTGCCAGTCAGTGGAGTGAGACAAGTTGTGGCGGCAGCAACCAACATCCAGTGACAATGATGTTTGGCAACACAAACGACGGCCTACGTCTGGCGGCGGCCTACATCCAGCAGCGGCCTACGTCCAACGTTAGCTGTCGGCCGCAAGCAGAGAGAGCAGGCTTAGCTTGCGGTGTATTTTGAAATTTGGCAAAAAACAAGCAAGTTTTGAATTCATAAACAATGAACTGCATAGTGAATTTGAAATTTGTCAAAATTTTACTTGCATTTCTTTTCACAAAACAAACACCAAAATTTCTAAAACCGATGCATTTCAAATACTTTAGACTCAATTTTCATCAAACCAAATGACCTCTAATACTATACGCCAAATATAACACCTAATGCTAGAGACAAGTTGATCATAAGGGATCCCTAAATACCAAGCTCATTTGAAATTGTTCAAATTAAAAAATTCATTACTAACCTCCACAAGAACACCATCTCCACTGACACAAACAATTCCGTCGTAGTTCAGGAAATCCAATTTATAAGCTAGTTCTTGGGCATGAAGCTGATACTCAGTCTCTGAGAGAAGGCAAAAATTAATCACACGTGTCATTTAGTTGAGAGAGCATATTTAGTAGAGTCAAGAAAAATAAAAAAACAAAACTACAAAAGTACCAAATATTGAAAAACTTGCTAACCTTGCAAAGTGTAAATGATATTAGCGGCTAAAAGTAGGGGCCTGATCTCGGTGTGGAAGATCTTTCGTGCAGATTTCTTTCCACCATATGGGTTCAGAAAAATAAAAATCCTCTTAGGTCGACCTGCTAGTGCCCATAAAAAGAAATGAATTTACATTAGTTAGCTTGACCTAGATTTTCAGGAAAGATTAAATTTTGCATTTAATAAAGAGATTAGAAAGTGCAAAAGCTCTCTAAAAAAAGTGGTACTTTGCCCGCACAAGAATAGGGTGTGTTGGAATTGAAGGGTAATATAATTGTGCCCACCGGATCCAACTCAAACAAACAATATAGGGTTGCACAAGGAAAATTTATTAGGAGCTAATAATTATGCGTGGATTAGGTGCAGACAGTCAAAAAGATGAAGAACACAACTATGTACTTCATCCCATTGGATGTTCACAAGTCCATGGCCCACACCTAATAATTTCTCTTATCTAAGTGTAGGGGGTCCTAGGTGAGCCCATAACCACAAATAAATTCCTACAATATGCAAGCATGTGGATAACATTCTACAAAAAAATATTTTTAAGATAAAATGTAATTTTCTACATCTATTGACCTCCAAAACTTCAAGTATTTAAAGTAAGTGATGTGGTTACAGAATCATTAAGGCCAAAAGTATTTTTTACATCATTTTCTGGATAAAAAAATGCTCAAATTCAAATTCAAAAACTTAAAAAATTATTTCAAATATTGTTAGAACTCCAATTTTAATAATTTTATAATTGAAATAGTGTAATTTTATACCTCTGTTGACCTCCTAAATAACTTCTAGTATTCAAAGTAAGTGATCTCATACTGATATGGATCACAAAATCGATTTGATCAAAAATAAATTTTTATGCATTTTCTGGATAAAAAATGCTCAAATTCAAATTCAAAATCTTCATAAATTATATCAAAGATTGTTCTAACTCCAATTTTAATAATTTTATAGTTGAAATACTGTGGTTCAACAAGAAAAACCTAATGGGAGCAAAATAGTGTGAATGTGAGTGTGTTTGGACCATAAATGACATGAAGACTAAAACAAACCGGTTTAGACCGGTCCAGCGAACTGATTGACCCTATTTACCTAGTCATGTTGCTAGCTTACCGTCCAACTACAGCTATCCCTAGATTCCTCTTCTTAGGACGAGTACAGACCAAACTTGGGATCTCGACAAGGTGCTTAAGATTGAGGGTAGTTCATTAGAAACATTCAAAAAATAAAAACTTATCGAAGCCATAATAATCTATACATGCCACAAAATCGTGATTTATTTATGGCATTGGAAAGATCTTGAGAAGAAGAATATTTAACCTAAAAAAGTTGGAGTTCTGACATTATTTTCTAGCAGCTCATAACTCAGATAAAAAACATACTAAAGTATTGCACTCTTACAAGCCTTCAATTTGTGAATTGCTATTGATGCTAGATTACTCTCATCAAGGCAAACAAATCTATACCAAGCTTCTGTCTAATCATCATTGTCTTATGGTGATGATAAAATATGGGCTACACTAAGTTTTGTTTCAGATATTCTGAAAGTTTGATCTACGATCCATCAACTCTACTGCGCTTGTGACATCAAGAGTTTCAAAGATGTACACCATACGTTCACTAATAAAAAACTTTGTCATCTGTGACTGTCACCCAAAAACTGTTTGGCTACCCAGGCTAGCCCTTGCTTAGGCGTCCCGATCACTTTCTAAAATATGAAATCAAGTAGTATGAGGGAAAGGGCATTAGGGGCATTCGTAAGCATGTATTTTGTAAGTATAATATTTCTTATGACACCCTCTCATATTTTAAACTTAAAAAATTATATGTAGTACATATATTTTATGTATAGAACTCTTATATTCATAAAAAATGCTCCTTTTAATATCTTATTTTGAACTCAAAACATGATGTATTTATCAAATGAAACCCACATTTTAAATTCTCATTAAATAACCCATGTTTTTTCATTCAAAATTTAACAGTAAAATCCAAACATATTAACATACATTCAATATAGGCCCTGCATTTTACTAGGCTAAGTACATATAAATCTTGCCTGCAAAAATCATGCCTACTAAATTCTCAACTTTGTGGTAAACATTATGACAGCACAAATAAAAGATTGTAAAACTAACAAGTATAAGCCACATCCACAGCAGAAAAGGAAAGAAACATAGATGTCGCACCAGAAACAAGCAAAAAGGGAGAATAATGTAAATAACTAATTAAATGAACTGAATAAACTTTAGGATCCTAATTCTAAGGGTCTGTTTGGCAACTTTGGTTGCAATATTTAGCCTTTTTTTTTTTGCGGGATGTAAGCTAAATTTAGCCAAATAATTCTTTTATGTGTTATAAATCTCGTATTCATCTTGTTTTAGGCTAAATCGCCGATTTAGTAAATCCTGAGGAGAATAGGATTTAAGATATTTACAGGTCTTTTTCTTGATGTGCTACTCTTCTTCTTCTTCTTCAATTAAATTCTAAATTTTAAATATATTTGCCAAACAATTTACCAAATTTCAACCAGATTTACAAAAACTTAACATATAAGATGCCAAATAATTTTTAGAATTTAATATCTCTAGGATTTACTGAATCAATTTGAAGTAAATCTTACTCGTAGCCAATCAACCCTCAAGTCTTCTTTATTATGAAAAGAGAAAATATGCAGATAGGAAAAATTGCAGGATTTAATAAAATTATGTTATAAAAAACAGCTTCCCGTTGAAAATTTATTTTGAAAAAAATAAACCAGCTATCTTAATTGCTCAAAAGTTCAACATGAAAGACGGTAGAAAATGACATCCAGCCTATAAAAGAATTTTATAAAAAAAATCAAGAAAAAGAAAGAAAGAAACGAAGAGGAGCAGATTCAAGGCAGAGTTAGCTTCCAAACAAGGTTTTCCAACCCGGAACAAACACTCAATGAAACCAAAAAACATGATAAAAATCATCAACTAATTTCCTCGACCTTGCCCAAATCCATAAAAAACCAAAATCAAAATTCACATACTCAACAAACCCACTTGCCTAGCGAATCGATATACTTTCTGAGCCGCTCGCTCCACATCTTAGCCACCACCTCCGTTGGCATCTCCAGAACGAAGTTCTTCATCACCCTATTCCCAAGGTTCCCAACTCCGCAAAACGGACCCTTGAGCTGGCTCACGAATGCCCTAACCGTAATCTCCCTTCCCTCCGCCGTGAATCCCAGCACTGACGACTCCACTGCCAAACTCTGCTCCCCTCGACCGGCGCCTCCATCAACTCGCCACCGCAGGTCCCCTCCGGCGGTGAAGCTTGCCTCTGCTGGCAACCCATTAACCTGTATCCTCTCCGTCATCGTTCCCTCCATCTACCGAGAGGAGACAAGATTTGAGCTAAGAGAGGCGAAGTGTGGAGTAGAGCAGCAAATAAGCGAAAAAATGAGGGGTGGCCGGTATTGTGGATCTGAAGATTGGTTGGGGTCAGAAATGTCAAATGAGAAGTGAAAAGAATAATGGGCGTGATGGTGATGTGATAATAATTATTATTCTTTTTTATTAAGAGAGCGCTATTTTTTTTTTTCAATTAAGACAAATTCGTACATAAAAATTTAAATATAAGATTTCTTAATTGGAAGATTAAGCTCTCAACCAACAGATCAAGATGAGCTTATGTGCGGAGCTCTATTCGAATAAGACGGAGCAAAAAGAATTTAAAAATATTAAAAAATAATTTTTTAAAAATTATTTTAAAGATTTTTTTTTTGGAAATGGGGAATCTACACGCCATCACTTTAAATGGAGTGTTTAGCGGCATAACTAATCACTCGGTGAAACCTAGCGAGATCATCCACCGGCATCGGACTCACACTTGCTTTGCCCCACTGAAAGGGTGATGTCATAGTTGAGGGGATTCGAATCAGGGATGGGGATGTTCTCCGTGGACGTTTAAAAGGACTTAAATTCACCAAAATATTTACTTCTTAATTACTTCATCAACAATATTTATTATAATTCTAAGTTTTTTTTTTTTTTTTTTAATTATTCTAAGTATTTTTTTGGAAATTATTCTAAGTATTTTGACTTATAACATTCATATGTTATATTTAATTTATACACTTATGAAAAGGTGGAGAGTCAACATTCATACTGTTAGAAGTTTTTCAAACTAATTTTGCTATAGTATAAGTACTTGTCCTAACACTGTTACTAAGAATGAGCGGCCAATGAGGATTTTTTGAGATGATTCTAAATAGTTAGTAGTCTCTTATATTTTGTTCAACCACATAATTTTTTTTTTGCCCTGCAAATATAGTGAATGATGCCCAAAACTTGTTTAGTACAACCATTTTTTTATATAATATGAATTTTAAAATACTAAATACATATATGCTCTAAAGAATATGTAAAAATACAAAAAAAAAAAACACAAAATAAAAATTACATATATGCTTTATATCTTAAAAAAAAACATTGTAAAGATTAAATTCATGTATATTCATATGGACATCTATTTGTAGTCATCCGCAAGATCATGGATTTGCTTTTTCTATTTCTTTTTCGAGAGAGAAGTTTACGTTGTACTATGCTCTAACTCGAGGTGGTGCAGGGCTAGTCAATTGATGGCGGCATAACTTAGGATGAGAAGAAAGGAAAATGATAACGATCTGCTCAGGCTTATAATCGGGGTCGATAGCGAGGGAGAGGTTGGTCATAGGGAGTGGAGAAGGATGAGCGTGGGTATGGGAGAAACAGGTTGGTGGTCAAGAACTTGCTTAGGTTTGCAACTATGGGAGGAATGATCCCATTTGTGTTGTCGTAGCATTAGTGGGACATCGGCATGCTAAATCGAGGGATGATGGAGATCCATAGCCCAATTCATAAGAATGTGATGGGAGAATGATGAGTGTGGTGAGATTTCAGCCGCAAGTTCGATACTGCTTCTGTCGCCGGGAAGAGGGTGGTGACCTACCAAAGGTTTGTGTTCTCTACCGAACCAACCAAGCACGACGTGGCTTTCTGTCTCACATTCCTAGAGCTAGGTCAGTTGTCTATTTTCTGAGTAGAATAGCGGTAAAAAGCAGGTGCGACTTACAGGAGCAAGCAAGCAAAGAGTCACAGCAGCTTTTTCTACTTTCTTTTGACTTTTGAAAGGTAGAATTTCTTACTCTTTCATAAAGAACAGAGAAAAGGAAGTATGGCAAGGGGAACAGCGGAATAGAGTACTAAAATGGAAATCGAATCCCCATCCCCTGCCTGAGCTCTCTTCGAATTGGAGTACTTTAGGAAGGCTTTGGAATGAGGGGAAGGAATCAAGTTTATTACTTCATCAACTTATTATGGATGGAAGGGTATGCAATCCAATGATCCCCTTATAAAATAATTTTATTATATAGGATGCATCATTAGATGTTGAGCATGTTAATCACGGTGCTTGTCATGATAGGTCTTAAATTAAATTTAAATAAAAAATTACAAGATAATTTGGATACATATTTTATTGTAATTAATCAATTAATTAATAGATAAAAATACAAGATTTAAATATAATAGTCAAATATAATATATTTTAAAATATATTGTTCTATATAATAAATCCTTTCTGACGATAAGCCACGCAATGTTCTTTATTTTCCTTTAGCCGATGTATCTGACGATAAGCCACGCCTGCAGCCATAATAAGACAATTTATAATAATAATAATAATAATAATAATAATAATAATAATAATAGTAATAAAATAGGATTGGATTGGAAGTTACCTGTAATATTTTTAAGGGGTGGTTGATCATTTTTTTTTAATTAGAAAGATACTGAAATTGTCCAAATAGTCACATAGGTGGAGGCATTATCAGAGTAAAATTAAATATTAATAAGAAATTTAATTTTTAGGTCATTGATATTAAATAAAATGAGTTTTAAATGAAATTTTTTGGGTGCTTGTTGGTTTGTTGAAAATGAATACATAATAAAAGTAATATAAGATATTTGAAATATTTTGAAGTTATTTTTATAGAGTTTTTTGAATTATTAATAGAACGTCTAATAATGATGATGTGCAGTGTTCACTGGAAATTGGTGGCAGCTAGAGGCAGCGGAGATCGGAGACTGGCGTGGGCTACGACATGAGATGTATGGCTGCTAGCATATGGGCACGGTTGGTGACGACCAGCGTTTTATTTGTTTTTAGGGTTGAGTGGGCGCTCAAACATCACCCATGTGTTTTTAAACATTTTTGAACATATGCACTACTCATTCAAGTGCTATTGTCAAGATCTGAAATTTGCCTATATGAAATTTATGCTTATAGACACTGCAATTAAATAAAAAAAATTGTTAATTGTTGTCATCTAATGGGCATCATTAATTCGTTATGATATATCATTTTATATATTACGAGTAGGGGTAGATTCAATGTACTAATTGATAGTTTTTAAAATACCCTAAACTTTATTTTTTAAAATGTTCTTTAACATTTTTTGTATGAGCTTGGGATTGATAAGAACAATTAAATATATATATATATATTGTTGCGTCCTGGAATATTCGCGGCGGTAGAGAAATATATAGTTTAACGTCTTAGCGTTGTACGAAGATCCAGCACACAATCAGATAAGTGAGAGGAAATTAAATTGTATGAGGCTCAAAATGATGCTCACCATTCAAATTCTTACAGCCTTAAATGTCTTAATTTATTAAAATTAATGAAATATTAATTTTCTGTCATATACATGCTACATACAGTATCTTTTTTAATTTTTATGAAGTAAAAAAAAAAAAAAAATACAGTATATTCCTCTAAGTCTTTATAGTTTGAAATTATTATAGAAGTATGTCATTATCAACACTATAATCATTAATAGTGGTCCGTGCATGTAAGAATTCATCTCACCATATTTTTTAAAGAAAATCCCTCCGAATATTATTAATAGAAAAAACCTGCTTAAAATAATAAATTGTTTATGATAAAGAATACTTAAAATAAATAAAGTTTTAAAAAAGGATCATTAATCTTGATAATCAAACTAAAAAAAATTGTCAATCAAAATTTATCTTCTCCAAATCTCCTTTCTCATGAATGCTTGTGCTTCATTGCATCATTAAGAATATAGGATAAATTGAAAGTTGTAATTTTTATGATGTCACTTGTTTGATATTCTAATTTTGATGCATTAGGTATGAATAATTGCATTAGACATTTCTTATATAATTGTAACCTACCAACGTCATCCTTCATCCGCCAACTCCACCACCCGTCATTGTTGGCTAACGCTGGTCGTCACCTCTATTAATCATTGTCGCTGCCATTGACTATCGTTAGCTAAGACCACCACCATTCAGCATTATCAGTGTTGGCTATCGTCAGCCACCAACATTCAAATGTTGTTATAAATATATATATATATATATTACTTGAGTTCATTTATTTCAAATAAAAAAAAGATAAACTCATGCATTTATATAGTTTATTTATTCAACAAAAAAGTCAAATGTATTTTTAATATATCAATTTTATTTTACTTTTGTATTCATTTTGTAGCAAAACAAATAGCCTCTTAAATTTTTTATTAGGTGTATTATAAATTTTTAAAATTTTATCTTTCTTTTCACTAGAAGCAAAATTTGGGAACAATGTTTTTTTCTTGGAAATGAGATCTTAGCGCCAAATTCATTAAAGTTGTTAACAAACAAGCAAAGCTTCATAGAAGAGAAAGTATACAAATGAGAAAGAACTATTAATAACTAATAACTTCCAAAACAAAAAGGGATACCCACCAAAAGTAGGAGTTAGTCTTAAACAAATTTTCAAATAATGCAAAAACATGTGCCATCCAACAACAACAAGAAGAAGAAATCCCAAATTTTCACGACTCAAAGAAACCAAGATTGCTAGGTTACGCATGAGCATTTGAAGGAGAAGTTTTGCATCATAGCTCAAAGTTTGATCGTAATAATAATATCGAAGATCAAAAACATAGATTAAGAAAGGAGAACTTCATGTTTGCTCAACTACGATACGATAGGTCAAAGAATTCACCTAGCTGAAAGATCAAATATTAAAAAAAAAAAAAGAAGCAAAACAACAAGCAATCAATAGGTAGAGCAATAAAAACTAACAAATCATTGAAGGATTCCCCCAAGGGCCACTAAGAGCAAGCATTTCTCTAAGTTCTAACAAAGAAAAACTAATTTAGCATAATTTAAAAAGAAAACCATGACAAAGTATGCCATAATTAATGAAGTCCTTCCAAAATAGAACAAAACTTAATAAAAATATGATAAAATATCAAAAAGATGTAGGATCAAGAAAATAAAGCATTATCCACAAATATAAACTCTCCTCCAACCCTCCATATTTGCCATAATTTCTATTGGCAAAAAATTATTGAATTTCCATCTACTCAAGTTATTAGCCACCAAATGTCTAAACTTGATCGTAATACTGCCAAGAGCATTTCTTCATCCCATA